AATACTCAACAGGACTCAACTTTGAGCGCAATAACAAATATCTTGGTTGATTTTTACAATAGTTATAACCAATTAACGATTTTGCTTTATGTTGCAATTTTCGAAGCAACAAATTAAATTTAGCGGTAGCTATTTTAAAGCTTTTTTTTTTTTTTTAAGATAAGGTGTTTACCTTAATAATATGATTTTTAAAGGTACGTAATTTGAAAAAAATCGTGTAAAAGTAATCGAGAAAATGGTATTGTTACACTAAATTTTTAATAATTTAGTATAGTTAATATTAAACACACTTTAAGCAATAATCTCAAATTTGGTCCTACTTTTGTGTAGAAAGATCCTTGAGTAAATTGATTTCCACATAAAATTAGTAATAAATTTGTGTTGCATGTTAGGAGATAAAACGTTACAAATTGATATTCACATTCATTTTGTCCCTAATTATATTTTTCACGCAAGCAAAACATTTATGGAACATCACGACTTTTTAGTATAATAATTTACAATAATTTTTATCAAACCTGTATCTTCATGGTTTCACCAGTACGGGGTATCATTGTGGTTCATAATTCTTCATTCAACCTTTTGTTTGATATAATAGATGGATCTTCTATTTAATGAATAATAATGGATTAAGTTATCATCAAAAAAAATATGGAGTAATCTCGTTCACCAGATTTAGCACCACGTGATTTCTACATGTTTTACAGATTCTTAATGTATGCAAAATACAAATTTATCAATAAATTTGGCTGTTTTTTTCGCAGCAACTACAGTATCATATCTATATATTTGATTCGCGACTATTATTGGCTTTACTTGTTATACTGATTTTTTTTAAACAAGCCATCCTTTTCTCCACAAAGAGCCCGTCTTATCTCCACGCGAACGTCCCAATCTCTCACAAACGACCTCCATTCCCTTTGTATTTTCGTTTTTCGAGTATTCCAGATCCCTGTAACAGGTTCAATTTTTTCCACCACGATTCAACCCTAAGTATTAGCCCTTAACGGCTGACGGGACGTCGAAAAGGGCCATTTATAAGACACCTTTACAGGAAGGGCGTCTCCAAGCGTCGAAAGTAGGTTCTTTTCCAAGTCGGAAATCCAGATTTATATTCTCGATGCGTGTCGAAGAACGGAGGTGGGTGTATTTCCGGCTTTTGCTCGAAAAGAAACAATGAAATGTGCCACATATTTATAAATATTGCTATTATATGACTGCGACTTACGAAGGAAATTGGTCTAATAAAAGTATAATCCAAATAATGCTTATTTATTGTCTTGAAGAAAAGAGTTTTTATGTTGCTAGAAAATTGTTTTTCTAGTAGAGACGCGTCTACTTTCGAAAAGTAAGAACTGTACAATAAGTTATGCCATAATTGATAGTAATGAATATATACATTTTAATATTGATTGTGTTATTTAGATTTTCACTTCTTAAATTGTTTTATACCGACGTATTCTTATAATATCCTGAATGGATCATGTCACAAATGACGAGGTTTTGGGAATAATGGGAAAAACAGAGAAATGTTAACAAGATCAAAAAGACCGTATACCCAAGTCATATATCTCGAAGATGATGATATTCTTTAAAAACTAATTATAGAAAGAAACATTGAGGACCGCAGATAAGGACCCTGTTCTTGGGCAGGGTTCTTGAGAACTGCACAAAACCGCATACAGTTCGCGAAGAACAAGAAATCTTTCTCTAACTGCAGCATTTGTTTAAAATTATCATTTTTATGTAGAAATCGAGAGGTATCTTTTGAATTGTTAAAAATACCTGGTCTTTCAATTTCCGGTTTTGATAGAGTCACTATAGACCAACACATCATCATTCTGACTGTACAACCATGAGTGGGACCTAGCCTATTCAAGAATTTCTCTCCAGTGGTCCCTATTGATCCCTCATGTCTTCATCGATGTTATCAAGGAACCTTGTTATGGGTCTTCCTCTTCTTCTATGAGCAATGGGTCTATCAAGGAGCATTTTTCTAGCTGGGTTATTTTGTTCCATCTGCATTATATGCCCTATCCACCTCAGACGTCCCATCTTAATATGTTTTACGAAATCTGGTTCTTGGTATATTCTATAAAATTCGAAGTTCTCCACACTCCATTGTCATTCACTGCTCCATAGATATCTATTAGAATTAGAATCCATAGATTTGCCTTAGTTTTTTTCTTTCGAAACATCCTAACATGCTTTCATTACTTTATGTTAGAGTTGTACGGACATAAGTATTACTTTTTCCAGAGCCAGATTAAACAGTATACAGGAAAGTGAGTCTTCCTGGTGCAGTCCGTCACTTGTTTGAAAAGGTTCGGACAGTTCACTAAATTCGTACTCTATTAAATTTACAAACTGATTTGCTATTCCTAGCTCTTTCATTGCTTTGAACATTTCCCTTCTCTCCTTAGAGTCGTGGGATGCATTGTAGTCTATAAATATGTGATGAGCATTAATGTCATATTCCAGTGTTTTTCCGAAAATTTGTCTCAGGATTGTTTCTTTCTTTCTTCTTAGACTTTTGTCGTCCATGTTTGGACATAGGCCTCTCCCAACTCCTTCCATCGGTCTCTATCCTGAGCAACATATTTCCAATTTGTTCCGGCTATTCTTCTAATGTCATCAACCCATCTCATCTGTGGTCTTCCTCTTGGTCGTTTTACTTTCGTAAGGTCTCCAATGTTGTATTGTAGTATTCCAACGTTGGTCTTTCTGTCTAGCAGTGTGGCCCGCGAAGCTCCATTTAAGTTTGGCAATTTTTGTTGTTATGTCCTCGACTTTTGTTTTGGAACTTACCCAGTCGTTCCTCTTCTTATTTGACAGTCATATACCTAACATTGCTCTTTCCATTGTTCTTTCTGTTGTAGCTAGTTTATTCATGTTTGCCTTGGTTAGGGTCCAGGTTTGACATCTATATGTCATGATAGGAAGGATGCATTGTTGAACACTTTGCTCCTCAAGTATTGGGTATTTTGCGGTTCTTAAGTATCCAACTAAGTTTTCCAAATCCTGCTCATGCTAGTCTTGCTCTTCTAGTAATTTCCGTACTTTGGTTCTCTTTGTCAAGTCTCAGGATTTGGCCTAGGTAGATATATTCCTGGATTTGTTCTATCTCACTCCCGTTTATAGTTATATGTCTGGGGTCATCTGTGTTTGTCATTATTTTTGTCTTTTTCATATTCATCTCAGATTGTAATCTGATGAATTGTCGATTTACCACCTCTGAAACTAGCCTGATATTTTCCTACTATCTGTTCTGCATATGGTGCCATACGGTGACATAGTACTGTGGAAAATATTTTATACGCAGCATTTAGAAGCGTAATTCCTCTGTGGTTAGATAATTCAAAGATATCTCCTTTGTTGTGTATGGTGCAAAGTATTTCAATATTTCAATCATTAGGAGGGATTTATTATAAGCTACTGTAATGCCACTATGATATCGTGGCCACCTTTTTTTATATAGTTCAGCTGGGAGATTATCTATTATTCCAGGTGATTTATTTCTGGTTAGTTTTTTATCTGCATCTTTAACTTCATCAATCGTTGGTAATTCCTCTTCCTTCTGGTCTATTCCCCTTACCTGATCTCTTTCGTCGTCTAGGTTTTCTTCCTCTTCTTCTATATTAAGTGTCTGGTTAACGTATTCCATTCATCTATTCAATACATCTTTCCTTGTTGTTATTAGGTCGCCATTCTGACTTCTGTATTGACTTGTGGTTTCCTTGAATTCTTCTCTGTTGATGTTCTGTTAGGTTTTCTATATATTTAAGTTCCTTCTACATCAATACAACTGGTCAAATAATAGAGACCTGGGAGTGGCCACCTTTGGACAACAAAGAGAAGAGATAGTCGATATTTAGCCAGTTTTGTTATATGCAGTCGGAATATCATTACAGCAGTAAACACGCATTTCATAGGAACAAATGTATGTCTAATTGCAATGTCTACCGACTCATTGCAAGACCTGTAATTCGGTGAACGCTAAGTGGTGCCAATTTGCGATTTGAGAATACCTTAAAGGGTGATCGATTGTAAGGTGCTGTAATCACAGAAATTGGCTTTTACCTAACTGGAGAAATTTTTTACTTACTGTCTTCGGATGTCCCAATTTAGATTGACATGCCGTAGTGAGAGCTGTCGTAAAAGAGTATAAAGAGAGGCAGGACGTGCAGCACGCTTACCATTGCTTCGAGCGGTGGTTCATTATTAAGGAATGACAGTAATTTTTTGGGGGGCTTATGCACGGTTTTCGCACTGCACTTATTTACAGACCAAAGACTCTGACCGAAAAACATTTATTTGAAAAATGTTTTCAAGCTCATTATTCTGCCCCGAAATGAATTCCTACATAGTATTAGAAGAATGGAAAATGGGTTGACTGAATCCAATGCTCAGAAGATCAACTAGTCGGCAAACTTGTGGGAGCTAAATCCAATAGAGCACGAGCAATAGTATATGGTTTCACGAGCCATATTCAGAAGACCAAACTTACCGATATCCCTCCATAGCTAATTGTGGCACCAAAAGAGGAGTGGGAATATTTCTCATGATAAGATTGTAAATCTTATCCCCTTAGCCAAGACGGATCAGTGCCTCAAAAACAGAGTAGGTCATACTAAATATTAATGTTGTTATGTTTTTCATTAATTATTTTTTAAGGATTTTAGTTAAATAGAGTTTTAAACACCCTTACTTCGTTTTTTCTATTTTTCCAAATCCAAGATCCATGCTCCGAAAAAATATATGAATAGCTTGGTAAAAGAATACCGAATTTTATTATGTTTTAAAGTTTTTCATTCTCTGAATATTGAAGTTAATTGTCCGTTATAATTGCTGCTTTTTAACGTTTTTAAGAATCTTTAGATACATTTATTTGGTTCTCTGTATTTTTTTTTGTCTATTGTTCTTACAGTAACAAATTAAAAATTATTCGTAACTAATGTGACCATCGTACAATTTTAAGATAAAGTCCCCAAAAATCTTACCTGATAATATTCCAGGCGTGTCGATAATTGACATTCCTTTTAACACCGATGAATCGACTAAGGAACATTGAAACCTATTCAGAAACGAGTTTCCGAAACAGGATAGTGGACGAAATTGCTTTTTTGGATCTACAACCAACGCATTTCCTGGAATGACACCTTCAGTTTCAGAATACATCACAGCAATAAACCTAAAAATATAGCAAATAGTTATTTAAAAGTAGTCTAGTTAAGATATTATTTAGATTTAATTATAAATTTATCTTTAAGAATTGTACTAAATGCATATTATGCCTGCCAAGGATTGCCAATTTAAAAGAATGCTAAGATACCCAACCTGAAACGGTCTTAAGAATGATATACACTAGAATTTACTATATAGCTTTTTATATGAGTAACAACCAATTTGACTTCTGTAACGGTTTGGGCACAAGTAGAGCATAATTTGCTTTTCTTCTTCTTGTCTTCTACTTCTTGGAGATCTTTCGATCTGTTTAATTCTGAAGCTGCCTCTGGTTAACTTCCTGTGAGGTAGATTGCCAACTATCTCTCCATTTTTTAGGTGGTCTTCCGGGAGGTCTTGAACCGGGCGGGTTGTTTTTCTAGAGCAATTTTTGGGAGTCTATTCTCATCCATTCGTCTTACATGATTGTACCATATCTAGTAGAGTAAATAGACTGGCAAAAGGCTTCTAGAATAGATTTTTGGTGGGCACTTTGTTGCTAAAATGTAAAACCTATTTTTTTTCGTTTTTAATATCTTTCTAATGCAAAATCACTTGGTCGTCCAAAAATCGTAGCGGGAGGGGAGTGATGGGGAGCCTTACAAAAAAAAAGTGCTAATTTTTTTTTCGTCATTTTTCGGATCTACGATAACCGAAAATTCATTCCTCAAATTTTCATGTTGATCTGGACATTAGAAATATTTTTATTTTATTTATAAAAATACGTCAAACCATTGTTGTATACGGAGCGCCTTCATACAAAATCACTTGTTCTGAAAACCCATATTTTTAAAATCTTTTACCTCGCTCTACCTCGAAAAATATTGGGTTTAGCAAAAAATTACTTTCTATAAACATATAGACCAAAAATCAGAGAACACGTGGGTTTTTTTAGAATTTCGATTGGATAATTAGTTTAAGAAAAAATTAAATAAATCGAACGGCATGTCACGACTGACAGTGCTGAACGCGGAGATGCGAGGAAGGGCGAGATTCCTGTGCCGAAGTCAAAGCAAATCGACTCTAGTGATGGCGATGTTGTTAGGGTCGATTTTACATTGAAACGCTGTTGTGTTGTATATTCTATTCCGAAAGTACATCACTGTGCATTATTTTTTACTAATAGCGCGAAATCCACTGAGCTGAGATTTTTAATATTAAAAGTTTTAAATTATTAAAAGTTATTAATTAGCTTATTGCTATAATAAAAATATTAAATATCTACTTAATATTAAAGTAAATATTTTTTTTTTATCTAGAAACGGATTTAACGAAAAGCAGCAGGTCTGACAGTGAACTTGAGTGAAAAATCAGATTAAGGCATGTTTTTTTTCCATAAAGTCCATTTCCTTTTCAGTTTGTTGAAGGACGCGGAAACTGGAGAATACATTTTTGTTCTAGTTTTCGAAAAATGCATCCTTACTTTTTTGCATTTGGCCATGTGAACTATTCTTTTTGGGGAACATTATATTTGTTGGACATGTACAAATTTGCTGATAAGTATCCAGAATTTCATGAAGACTTTATTAGAGGAAATTTTGTTGTGAAAAGTTGGAACAGAAACTTTTACCAACTATATAGATATCGCTTTAAACACATAAATACAAACTCAAAAGATGCAGGAGGAATCGTGTGATTTACTAAAACCAGCACAAAACTAGACGAATGGTTTTTAAGCTACAATATGATTGGCATGATGGTAGATGAATTTCGTGCATCATGAGACCTAAGCAACCACTCAAGTCAAAACGTAGAAAGTAGAAAAAAACGGATGAAAATTGATGAATATTCTGTACAAAAACTACATGATCAGTTTTTACGATTTAATGTATTTTTAAAAAGCGTAGATTGTCTTTTCGTAATTTCAGCTAATGAGATTGCATCGCCAAATGTTCAAACATCCTTATTAATATACAAAAAAAAAATGAAAAAGAGAGCCTAGCAAAATTTATTGTTACTGTTGGAACTCCCAATTTTTATCAGCATAGAAAAGAGAATAATCTTCCAAAACTTCGTCGCGCAGATACCTATAAAACTGTCTCTGAAAAGAAGAAAATTATTCAAGTTGAGCAAGAATTTTTACAAAAAATACTACCAATCGAGGCAATTGAAAGAGACATAAATATTATGAGGATATTTTCAAATAGGAATTGACAGCATATCCAATGTCACTTGTACCAGCAGGAGTTTTATCGATACCATAAAATAAATCTGCCTTAGGTTCTATAATAGAACAGTTTACAGTTGTTACAAAATCACAAAACGTGTCACATTTTTGATGGTATGGGATTGATTCAAGCCGTTGGCAAACCATCAAATGCCAAAACATTTGACGACTATGCAAGAATTTTGAAATCAATAGTGTTCAAGAACCCCTACAGCGTTAAAAGGATCGATTTTGTTTTGGATCACTACAAGGAATCTTCCATAAAAACTGCACGAGACAAAAGAGAGGCGCCAAAATTGAATCAATACAACGGTTAATTGAAGGTCCGGATACAGTATTACCTCAAAAATGGAATTCATTTATTAATTGAGTTTTTAATAAAAACCAGCTTACACACTTCGTAAGCAATCAGCTAGTTAAATATTCCTTAACAAATTGTACCGGTCACTTCGTATCCAGCAGAGGATTTTGCGACGTTTTACATTACAAAACAAATTTTGGTTTGAATTCTGAAATATTAGTCTCATCACATAAAGAGGCCGATACCAGAATAATATTACACATTCTGTCAGCAAAAATGGAGGGATATACAAAATGTATAGTCGACTGTAAAGTTACCGATCTGCCCATTTTAAAGACCTTTCAACTCCAGATGTTTTGATGAGGGTTGGAACAAAGGACAACGAAAGATCTATAGGTATTCACGAACTCTCTATGGATTACTTTATAGGTATCTGCAGTTAAGCTACAATATGCCAATCATATTGTAGCTTAAAAACCATTCGTCTAGTTTTGTGCTGGTTTTAGTAAATCACACGATTCCTCCTGCATCTTTTGAGTTTGTATTTATGTGTTGAAAGCTATATCTACAAATAGTTGGGTAAAAGTTTCTGTTCAAAATTTTCACAACAAAATTTCCTCTAATAAAGTCTTCATGAAATTCTGGATACTTATCAGCAAATTTGTACATGTCCAACAAATATAATGTTCCCCAAAAAGAATAGTTCACATGGCCAAATGCAAAGAAGTAAGGATGCATTTTTCGAAAACTAGAACAAAAATGTATTCTCCAGTTTCCGCGTCCTTCAACAAACTGAAAAGGAAATGGACTTTATGGAAAAAAAAACATGCCTTAATCTGATTTTTGACTCAAGTTCACTGTCAGACCTGCTGCTTTTCGTTAAATCCGTTTCTAGATAAAAAAAATATTTACTTTAATATTAAGTAGATATTTAATATTTTTATTATAGCAATAACCTAATTAATAACTTTTAATAATTTAAAACTTTCAATATTAAAAATCTCAGCTCAGTGGATTTCGCGCTATTAGTAAAAAATAATGCACAATGATGCACTTTCGCAATAGAATATACAACACAACAGCGTTTCAATGTAAAATCGACCCTAACAACATCGCCATCACTAGAGTCGATTTGCTTTGACTTCGGCACAGGAATCTCGCCCTTCCTCGCATCTCCGCGTTCAGCACTGTCAGTCGTGACATGCCGTTCGATTTATTTGATTTTTTCTTAAACTAATTATCCAATCGAAATTCTAAAAAAAAACCCGTGTTCTCTGATTTTTGGTCTATAATGTTTATAGAAAGTAATTTTTTGCTAAACCCAATATTTTTCGAGGTAGAGCGAGGTAAAAGATTTTAAAAATATGGGTTTTCAGAACAAGTGATTTTGTATGAAGGCGCTCCGTATACAACAATGGTTTGACGTATTTTTATAAATAAAATAAAAATATTTCTAATGTCCAGATGGGTATGCAAATTTGATGAATGAATGTTCGGATATTGTACATCCGAAAAACGATGAAAAAAAATAATTGCATTTTTTTTTGTAAGGCTCCCCACCACCCCCCTCCCACTACGATTTTGGACGACCAAGTGATTTTGCCTTACAAAGATATTAAAAACCAAAAAAAATGGTTTTTACATTTTAGCAATAAAGTTCCCACGGGATAACACAATAGGATCCTGTTTAAACTATACTAATCT